ACTGTACACTATAAATTAACCTGAAGGACATAATACTAAGAGAAGGATATGTTATATCACACTATAAAATTACCAGAAGGACATGTTATATCACACTATAAAATAACCAGAAGGACATGTTATATCACACTATAAAATAACCAGAAGGACATGTTATATCACACTATAAAATAACCAGAAGGACATGTTATATCACACTATAAAATAACCAGAAGGATATGTTATATCACACTATAAAATTACCAGAAGGATATACTACTACGTACCAGAAGGACATGTTATATCACACTATAAAATAACCAGAAGGACATGTTATATCACACTATATAATAACCAGAAGGACATGTTATACTGTACACTATAAATTAACCTGAAGGACATAATACTAAGAGAAGGATATGTTATATCACACTATAAAATTACCAGAAGGATATACTACTACATGTACGTACCAGAAGGACATGTTATACTGTACACTATAAATTAACCTGAAGGACATAATACTAAGAGAAGGATATGTTATATCACACTATAAAATTACCAGAAGGATATACTACTACGTACCAGAAGGACAAGTTATATCTGTACACTCATTCTCCTTTTAATTAGAGCAGAAATCAATACACGAACGGATTTATCCATGATTTTAACTACACATTGCATGTCAGCCTCATATTTATACTACACAGTTGTAATGAAAGAAACCAGAAAAAAACTTTGCGTGGTTTTAATATCTATGACACCAGACCCGATTGTATTAATTATTAATGAAGAAATCACACACACATGTACTGTAGAGAACTTAATCTAAATAAAGGTCCCTGTTTACTCACCACACATAGTTTATTTCCACCCATTTATTTTATTCCTAAATTATTCATTTTTGGCGTTTTCAGAAATTATATCCAGAATATTACCCTTATACTGTAAATATTTTGACGTTATACCTACATGTACATGTATAACATCAATTGGCAGACCATCACCATCAAGAAACACCATTTGCAAGCCTGGAAATATGGCACCTGTCACTGACAATGTCAGGCACTGATTCAGGCTTTGTCAGGAACTTAACCTCTGGTGCCTGTCATTTTGTCCGGCACTGATTTGTCTTTTTTATTGATATTATTAATTAATACATGTCTGGCACATGTCAGGTACATCTAAAACCGTTATTTCCAGACCTGAGTCTATTTATGCTAATATTTTTCTCATTTTTGAGTGATGTCTGTTTTGTGCTGTAGACACTTATGGCGGATCCCCGGATCCATTCACTTGATTTGCTGTTCATTGTTTATTGCTTGCAATGTCCGTGTAATTACTGTAATTTCTGTTTCATCTGCAGGTTCGTCTAAAGGGTTTTGTTTGTGTGTAGTGCAGTCCTCCTGCACTTACCATAAATATTGATTTCGAAATTCGTAATGATTGGTTTAATGTAAATTTAGATACTGTTGACAGAAATTGAAAATGAAATGGGGTTTAACGTCTGCTCCGAACTGAGCTAATGAAGACAGGCATACGCCATACAGTGTGCTATGAGGGCAATTTTGCCCAGACAGCGGCACTACCGCCTACTCTTATATCGAATTCCAACTGTCAAAGGATCTTTTACATGCATGCCAATGTGTACATGGAACCTCGGTTTTTCATCCCATCCGAAGGACTAGTCAGTCCCTCCATCCTGCATTACTGACAAGGGAGAACCACGCCGGAAAAACTAGATGAACTTTCTCGGCCAATGCAGGGATCAAACACTAGCGAGCCAGTTTCTTACCCACTTAGCCACCGTAATCCTTAAACTAAACGATCTGACTATCCACGGAGAGTTGATTATGGTCTTGGAATGTGAATAAATGTCTCAATTGTAATTTATGATTTCTATACCGTTCGAGACCAAACGAAAGATTGCATTATAAGGCAGATATAGCTCTCACATAATGCATCTTTAAATATTAAATAATCAAAATTAGTACCACGAGATATTATTAGCATAGATTGAGTCAAGATAAATTCAAAATTATCAGAAAAATGCAAACCATGCATCTTATTTTAATAAAATGATGCGTTTAAAAAATTAATATGATTATGAACAACGATGAAAGAACTGGTATTAAAGAAATGAAGCTGTCTTACAACGTCATTTTAGCCCTCTCTTTCATCAGAAGACGAAGCGAAGACATATCTTGCTTCATAAGAATCCACAAAATCTGATGGAAATCTTCCAAAAATAACTTTTGGGAAAACAAAACTTATTCACTTTCACCTTTAATTTAAAGCAGGTGAGAACAACCCCACTGGTGGGTTCAATGCACTCGGCAAACCTCGGCAGATTCCGTTACATCTAGCCTCGGCTGTATGAAGGTAAGTGATATGTACATGTACCTACGCCTATACAATTGCGATGCGACACCGGTTTACATATTAGAAAAACTTGACACTTTTAGAAATAAGTTCTCACAATTGCGTGGTTCGAAGAGTGTGTAGAATTTTCAGTGCAAACTTGTCATTGTCTAAAGAAAATCAGATAAACTTGAGAGAAAAAAAAGCGTGATTGCAGACTTTGAAATCTTTGTAGGATAAAACATTCTTCAAAGTTGTCGTCATGGGCAACGCCAGGCTGACCTTAAAAATATCTTTGTTTCACCAAACCCGACCCACAATCGAGGAGAAGGGTCGGTAGGTCGGGTTTTTTTCAGATTTTTTTTTTAAGAGCTAATTTGACAGCTTGATAATTTTCCGGGTGCAAACATTCGTCTTCTTTTATTGGCAAACAAATCAATTAACGATCGTGCGGGTTGTGCCTTTATTTTTCTCGAAAACGGATATTGAAAATATCGTCGTCATATTTAAAACGACGCCCCACAGACATAGAGGCAGAATCATTTCGTGGGAATGGACGTGCTTTCGTCTGCAACCATTTTGTTGAGAAGCGACACCTATGACGCTTTCGTCTTGTTCAACCAGTTTCAATAATGAATCAAACCATAGCCATAATAAAGGGAAATAACTCTCGTGATATATTTCAGGTTGACACACAAAATAAAATAAAAAGATCGCGGAAAAGTGCAATAAAATAATTTAAGTCGGGGGTGGTTTTAGTTAGTCGGTCGCGTTAGGCGAAACAAAGATATTTTTAAGGTCAGCCCCATGGGTAATCCGGGAACTTGAAAGTAGTTTCAATAGCAGACTTCGTCACACAGCCGAGGCTACATGCTGAGGTTTGCCGACCGAGACCAACCCCACACATCATACTCAGCTAGCTCAATGATAAAACTCATACGGCTCAACCTGTATGTACGTGTATGAACACCTCCCGGCTCCATTCACTAGCGAACCCGCACTCAAGTCTCCACTTACACTAACCAGAGACAAGCTCAAGATGGGATCCCCCTCCTTACCAAAACAACCAATGCTCGAACACATATCAATTTTTAAAATCGGTGAAGGGTTAAAGCGAGAACCTGGATGATCAGACAATCTCATTGCTGGTGTAAACTTAGAGATCAGAAACCTCATCTCTCAACTCTACGTGTTTCGCGATAAGAGATGGTACTATATAGTTTCTTCTTGCAAACCCCAGCGCTAATCACATCGGTCTTCAAATAAGCAAAATTGACAATTTTTTTTTCAAAACAACTATTGATTATATACTGATGTCCAAAAGAAAGTATACACTGTGCATTTTGTGCTGCATCAACCAAATAAAATAAAACCAAGTATGAACAATCCAAACCATAAGACAGAATTCGAATCCTAAAAAACGTTAATAGGCAAAATAGTGTATTCAAGCAAAATAGTGTAATCAGCAAATGGACTGCTCCTCGTGTACAAAATACACGACAAACAGTGGTAACAGGTGTCCGGAAGAGTAAGCTTACCCTGCCTGGCGCCACACCCGCCATAGCTGCATCCAAACTATTAGACGAAATGTCGGTAAAATAGCGTGATTGGCCAATGAACTATCGGTATGCAAAATGCACGCGATGTCGTTTTTCCATGGTATACGGTATTTGGGTAGAATGTCAATTTGTTTCACATTTTTATTTTGCTTAGAAATGTTGAGTTTGGACGCAAGAGACAAACTCAGTAATGCTTTATCAAATGTTTTTAATCTAAACAAAACTTAGTCATACTTTTAGTGTGTATACTTTCTTTTGGACATAGTTATTTATAACATTTCTGCCACATCCAACAGTACAATTACATGTACACGTCATGTCAGCATATAATTCTACCTGACACGGGTACAAATTTCCTCTATTAAATCAAAAAGATAATAGATTTTTACCTCATAAAGGTGGGGCCTCGTGTACAATAGCCAATCAAGTCAAAGTACTAACCTGATCAGAGTTGTAGTAGGAGTAATACACCATAATTAGCCTAATAATTAAATGGATGTCCGTACCGTATCAATTTTGATAAAAACAACACTTGATTTACTTAATTGACAATATTTGCTGATAAACGAAAGTTGTTTCACTAGATTGGGCTGCGTATAGTATAAAATTAACTTATTTTTAAGATTTTACATGCATTAGTAAAGAAATTAAGTTTGCCAGGTAAAATCAAAAATAAAGGCACCCATGCAATCGTAGCTAAAAACCAGCACATTCATTCTGTCTAGCTCTTGCACGTTTTTAGGTCTTCTCGTAGCTAGTGTAAACTTACAAAAAGCATTTTAAAGGGCAGCCGCACCGGTCAATTGCCCCATGGATGTTTTTCGGCGCCCCTGCTCAGTTTAATCCGTAATCGCAGTTCCATAAATTTTTATTCTTTTTCGTCAACTTGATAGCTAACACTAACAGATCTTTCTATTGTACCTAATTCAGTAATTGTATGATCCATGAAACTGACCATATGCCACACTACACCACTCAAAAGTGTGTTATTGATTATCACTTACTAATATCTTATAGGCCTAATAAAGTGTTAACTCTAAAAGTCAAGTCGCACAGGATTCTTCAGTTCAGACATTTCTCACAATGAAAATAAATACTCACCAATTCCACCGAAACCACATCTTTCAAGTGAACAGCTTCTTGTACGGCTTTTGGGGGATTTTCTGCTAGAAAAATACTGTCGTCTCCAAGAATCACAAACTTGAAGGCTTTGTTGTCTTTCTCCGATACGACAATACAAGATTCGTAAGCTCGTATTCTTTCATACTTCTCTTCTGTTATGGCACGTTTTAAAAAACTTTCTAGTTTACTGTTCTTCTTAACTAAAAGGTCTTGATTCCCGCGAGCCATGAACGATATTCATGTACGCCATGGAATGGAAATAGAATGATTCTTTTGATTCGTTACTACTGTTACGTTCGTTCCATCTTGAATGTTGTATAACGGTATTCCCTATCGCACAGTTGAAACGCTACTATCGTTCATAGCCTGACGACCGTGTACACAACGCTTAAATAATAGACTCGATCATCTAGACAGTCATTGAATACTAATCCCGTTATGATTCCTCGTTTACCTAGCGGCTTATGACTTCGTTATATTTTTAGTTCACGAACAGTTTCGCTAGGACATGTTTTAAAGGCGTTCAACACGATTTGATCCACATCACACTCTACCCGAATACAGACAATGCACAGTTTTACATCCGCGTTAGGGTTTAAGTTTAACGCAGCATTCCACCTGTGGATATTCGCTTGAGTTGTTATTGGGTCTTGAAAAGAAATTAATTTCTTATTGTGCGCCTGGACAATGTCGACTCTTGTAATACAATAGGTGGCCGATCACTAAGGTAATGAATAAAAGGTAGCCGAACCGTTCGTAAGTTGAGTGATTAATCACTCAATGGTTAATCAAAAAGATTAAAGAAAGCCCACAAGTCTTGTTTTATTTTAATGATAATGGAATAGATTGGACGTTTATAACAAACGATTCTTTTGTTTTACACCCACGAGAAACATATCCTTATTTAATTAAGGCTTATGTCGATCACGTTCGATCGACCACCTGCTTGACAATTAAGTTAGAAATGAAATGAAATGGGGTTTATTATAACGTCCTACTGTTCTGCTCCTTAACTGGGCTAATGAACACGGGCATACGCCATACAGTGTGCTACGAGGGAAATTTTGCCCGGGCAACGGCGCTACGGCCTACTAGCGGTCTTATATCGAATTCAAACTGATATTTTACGTGCATGCCAATATGTACACGGGACCTTGTTTTTTGTCCCATCCGAATGACTAGACAGCTGGCCCTCCGTCCTGTATCACTGACAAGGAGAAACCACGCCGGAAAATCTGGATGAACTTAATTCTCGGCCAATGCAGGGATCGAACACCCGACCTCCAGGCTAGCGAGCCAGCGTCTTACCCACTTAGCCACGTGATCCCGACAAAGTTAGAACTAGTACAATTTCCCGTATTCGAAATAAACCTCAGGGGACGACGTGTAGATTGTTTAAAAGGAAATCCAGCCATTGAGACGATAGCCCCTTTTAGATAACAATCTGAACCTCTCGAGGAGACATTGTGTCACTCAGTGAGTGGAGTATTTGCCCGGTATTGCCCGGCTCGGTATAATTGCCGGAGACAATTCCGCATTATGCTACAGAATTTTTTCTCCGTCTTCGGTGCATGGTGCAAAGAAAGTGGCCTAGGACGAACAGGTGTCTGTTTTTTCGGTCGATACCAGAGACCAGACAATCGGAACGACAGACTCACTCTACTTGCAAAGCTAGTTACTATTAGTACTATTTAATTTTCGTACGCTAGTTACGTACGGAGGACAGGGCGACTCAATGAGAGAGAGAGAAATGGGGTTTAACGTCCACTCGACACAAACTAGGTCATTTCGGGACTAACATATGGTTTAATTTTATTTACACAATTCGCTTGCGCGTAGGGGTCTTTAGCAGTGGGAGGAAACCGGAGGACCCGGAGAAAACCTACGAGGTTGGACAGGCGACCCTACTCCTTGCCACGTACAACCGGGGATTCGAAACCACGCCAGTCGACTCAATGACAGACTTTATGATACAGCGCGCGCACGCTAACCATTCAAACACGAGCAGGTCAATCAGATTAGACCGTAAAAAATGTACTTCTGAAAGAATTCAGAGTAAACAAACAGAAAAACGTCAAATTGATGGTCACAAGTGCGTTGTTTACATCGAACGTAGTAATATGAACTGGTACGGGCAAAATTATATCGTTTTACCCATTACGCCTCCGCGTACTATTTTCTGTACCTATTTACGCTAAATATGGAATATTTTTTATCAAGATATACTTCAAACACCTTTATTTTTTTTTCTAATACTAAAAAAAAATGTTTCAGAATTTAATTTGTCGAAAGAAAAAAGTTAATATTTTGTAGTCATTAAGTCGCATCGATATCATCCTTATCAGTGATTGTAGCGGCCTAGCGAATATTCACTGCGGATCAGTGTGTTATAGCGATAGGTCATGTCAGGGGTCAAAAGACCGACTTATGACCCTATGATGTCAGACATTTGATTAACCAATCAGCATTGATGTTACTAGTGGATCACCCACAGTTCCGTGCAAAACACGCCTAAAGCTCGCCGTAACAGACCGTTTCATTGGCTTACCCCTGACACCATTCAGAACACGAGTTAAATAACAACTCTTCCAGATCCAAGTGTAGTAGAGACAAGTAAAACAAAATTTTGTACTATAAAAATGAAACGAAATAGGATCTGTGTTTTAACCAGATTGTTGCAAAACAGAAATCCATAAATATTTCAGCTCATATCACAGTTATTTCTACTGTGATTCGTTATATGAAACCAACATCCCTACTTTCGAGAGGGGGTGCTGGGCTACCCGTAGGTTCCGGGTTAACAGACAAGCGCAGACTATACACCAGCTGATTAACGTCCTTACTAAATCTCTGCAGTCCGGGGAATATCCTTCCCTCATCTGTTCATTCCAGCCTGGGTGTGCTACTTCTCACATCTCTACATTTCCAGTCTGAGTGCCCTCCTTCCTCTAGGATCTACCTTCCATATGTAATAGTTATATACCTTGTTTTCAAGGTGTATGGGTTGATACACCGTCTCCTTTTTGAGATCTAAACTCAAAAAAGAGACGGTGTATCAACCCATACACCGAGAAAACAAGGTATATAACTGACTTATACTAAATACTTTTTCGAGAAATAGAGATTTTTTCTATTTTTCCCAATTTCAAAAGCATTTTTCATTTCACAAATTTATCAAAGTTTCCCATTTAGAGCCCCCCAATTATCTCATCGCAAACGCTTATTTCTACTCAGGTAAATGATGTCAGTACACCGCACGTGCATTTCACGGTTTAAATCAGTTCAGGGAAAATGTCATAACAGGGATATTGATTGGTTGAGAAAAGCAAACGTCATCCAATCATTTTGTACAATACATGTAGCCATTTCTTGTTGTTTTGCCAACATCCTGGCAAAAATAAATGCGGGAATTCGTCGAAGAATCCTACTTTATAATGTCACAGATATATATTTCTAAGACCGAGAATATCAGTTCTGCAAGAGATTTCAATGATCACGAAGATTTAGAAGCCCGATCCTTCACAGAACAAGAAATTAAAACCATGCAGATGAGTCGAATTCTGCCAAACACGAGGAAAAATACCAATTGCATAGGAATATGGTGACACTTCGAGATCAGTACAAAAGATTGGATTTTAACTTTTTTGATAAGCAAGGTATATTTGCTAATTTCCGCACAGATCAATTCATTAACTTCGCGAGGTATTGACATCCACTGACAGACAAAAACAAGAACAGCCATTAAATGAAGACGAGTTGGAATTGTAGAGTTCTCAAGTTTGTAGTGTAGTAAATACCAATGGATTAATTTATACTAGAAATATATTAGAATAACGTGCTGCGGATTGGCATAAACCGCGACAAAATGTGAAAGTTTTAAGTGTTGAAAATGCCAAGAGATTAATTTATAATAGTAAAATATTTGGATTATGTGCTGCGGATGAGCAGAAGCCGCGACAAAATGTGAAAGTGCTACAAAATGTGAAAGTGCGACTAGATATCAAAATGTCAAGAAATGTGAGACAAAATGTAAGAATCTGACTGAGAGTGACGCACATTCGAAAAGTGCTGAGACAGTTGAAAATGATGACCCTTTTACCATAACATGTTCAAAACGGGTTGTAGATGTTCAAATAAATATGTAAATCATGATTTTGTTATTTTTGTCCCTTTTCAGCTGATACACGGCCACTTTTCAACTGATACACGGCCACTTTTCAAAAGTGAAGTGGCCGTGTATCGGTGTATACTGTTGTGTTTTGTGATACGGTTTAGATACTAACATACCCGATTTATATCCTATTCAGCCACAGTAACACTTTTCTACTGTAGAGTTGGTTTGGCTCGCCCAAACTCAACTGTATCCAGAGAACGCCTAAACTCATGAACCTGTACCGGTCACCCAAATGCAGACTCGATGTGAAATGCACGTGCAGGAGGGGTATATAAGAAACTGGCGTTGGATCAGAGGTCGCAGACGACACTACGGAGCAGACATTAGTTCAGCGTAATATACAGTCAGCTACGAAGAGATCAAATGTAAGCATAATCTAACTTTCTATACCTTGGCAAATCACTTCATTGGCGCTGCGAGCTTAAAATTTGTAGCGGGGAAGGAAAGTTGTTGTTGCTGGTGTTAACTTTTGGGTAGTCAGTTAGTTGAGAAGAATAATAGAGTGCTTTATAGGGGGCAGCACGAACTCGCCCAGTACGGACTATTGGGATCTGTTGATAGAAAAGAAATTAAGGGGGGATAACTCTCGTGGAATATGGCTTCCGGAGATTCCAAAATGGAGGGAGATTCGTTCTCTGATATGTTGAAGGGGATTATAGAAGTTTTCGCAAGTCGTCATAAGGAAAGGCAACAGGTTAGGGAAAAGTCGACTAACGGAAAAAGTGCATATGACTTAGACCAAGAGGGGGGATGGCTAGACGCATCTTTAGAAAAAGAAGTAGAGAATCCTATCAAGGCTAATCCTACTGACAGGTGTTCCACTCCCGCACTAAAAATCAAGCGTAGATTACCGGGAACTCCGGTGTTCAGGGAGCCTTTCTGTATTCCAGAAATCCCTGGGGTGGGGGACAGTGGTTTAAAAGGGAATGTGGTGGATTATGGTAAAATTCCAAGAAATCTTGTGTTTAGTGGGGAGGAGGATAACAAGGGGTTATGGGATGTTTTTGAAGAAAAGTTTTATAGATATGCTAAAGGTCAGGCATGGATTAATAATGACGAATTGTGTAGAGATTGTTTATGTTATTGTTTAACTGGGAGGCTAGTGAGTACTTCTGTTACTTGAATAGAAGTTGTAGATATTTAACCTTTTGAAGGTCTTATGATAAAATTAGGTCATCGATTTGGCTTTGTGGAATTTCCGGAACAAATGGAAAATCTTTTTCTGCAAGCTAAGCAGGATCCTAGGGAGAGTCTGGATGATTGGGCAGTCCGGGTCCAGATGTTGGCTGATAAAGCTTTCCCGGCCTTGCCCAGGCAATTTGTCGATAAACAGGCTATATCAAGGTTATTATCAGGAAGTGGGGATATAGAGGGAAGCAGGTATGTCGCCAATCTACGGTTGATGAAACTGTGAATAGGTTAAAGTGGTACCGACATGTTTCTGATTCTATCCCGTTAAATTGTGAAGGTAGGATGACTTTCAATCGATCACGATATCCAAATAGACGCTATGATAGTCCGAGTATAGGCCCACCTCCGAACCAGCCATATTGTCGACAGACTAGTCCGTCACCAGTCAGGGTGGATTCTGCAACAAAGTCCCCGAAGTCCGAGGATAAAGAGTGGTTAAAAGAGGTTAATTCTATGAAGGAGGACATTAAGAAATTAACTAGCGTGGTAGAAGGATTATGTAGAATACAACGTAGTAGATCTC